CCACCCCCACCCCACACACGCACCAGGAGTTCTCAAAAGCCAGATCCTATTCACTCTTGAATTCCTAAGACCCAGCATAGATGGAAATGGGGGTGGAGGAGCCGCAGCTGTTGCCCTATGCGACGACCCACTCGGGAGCAGAGGCAGGGCTGTGTGTGCTGGGCGGGAGCAGCTCCTGGGCGGCAGCCAGAGCTCCTGGGTGATGGGACAAGCTAAGCCTGCTGCCTACCCACTTGCCACCTCCTACTCCCAACCTGCAGCCTCTTCCCAGCACCACCAGAAATTACACAGTGTGTTTCCATAAAGCCTTTAATCATTATCTTAGGAGCTGGGCTCAGTCTGGGCTTGGAGCGGAGTGCCTGTTGGGCTGGCTTCCAGTGGGTTCTGCTTTTGGGGGGCTTTCAGAAGAGTGCTCCATCCTTACCCCCATTGACCTGTGGTTCCTTAAAGGTGAAGACATAGGTAGAGACCATGGGTTTCTAGCTCCCCACCCCCATGCCCAAGGAGTCCTGGGCTGTAGGAGGGGAAAGGCCATTATTGACATGTGGGTTCAAATCTGGCTCCAATGCTGTGAGACCGTGAGCGAGTGATTTCCCCTCCTGAAGCCTCAGTGTCCTTATGCATGGGCCTCATAATCCCTGCTGTGCATCACCTTGTTCTAAAGCACAAGGGACAGTATACAGGGGGTGACTTGTGGGGCCCCACCCCACAATGGGGTCTTGGTGTGTGGCCACTCATTTGGCCACAGATTCCCAGCCCGGCTCTGCTGCTTATTTGCTCCTGTGTCTTTGGACAGGACCCTGCCCCTCAGGTCCTTAGTTTCTTTACTGGGATCTGGAGAACATCACCCCGGTCCTGCCTTCCTCGGGTGACCTGGGGGACAGGGCCTAGGGAAGGACCGATTGACTGCTAGAGCTAGGCAGTGTCCTTCGGGCCGAGGGGTTGGGCCACCAGGACTTAGATCCAGGGCGGATCAACATGGCTGCTGGTGAGTTTTCTCAGCTTCTTCCCAGATGGTCCAGCCCAGGCTGGAGATGGGCAGGGCCACAGCTAGGGGAGACCCTGTAGGGCCCAGAGTACTGGCGGTGGCCCCCCCACTTCCCTTCTCCCTGTAGCTGGGCAGAGCCAGTTCCTTGGCTAGCTAGACGGCCTCACCTGGGTTTCCCGGAGGCGCCCTCTGTGTTCCCCTTTCCTGCTTCAGCCCGTAGCTGCTCCTCATCCAGTCCCAGTGCTGACAGCACCTGGGAGAAGCGCCGGGTCACTGTGAGCCGGGCATTGGCCTGAAGAAAGAGAAGCGTTCCTGCTCTGCAGGCTGCCGGGGACGGGTGGTGCCGCGTGTGAAGGTCCCAGGGCTTCCGGATGGGCGGTGGCCCCGGGGTCCTTTCTAAGGGGGCCCACTCTCACTTACATCCCTACGCACTCAGCCAATGAGAAGCGCTGCTCTCGGGGAGGCTGATGCTCGTCCAGGGACTAGGCCTCACCTGCATGGCCTGCTGGAACAGGTAGGGCCGGGCCTGCACCCTGTGCTGAATGCCCTGCAGCTCTGCCTGGTACTGAGCAAAGCGCTGTCGCTCCTGGCGCCTGCAGGGAGACGGACCTGTGGGCAGCCAGCCGCGAGCACAACCCATCCCCGGTCCTGAGTCCACTCCTCCTCGCTAGGGACGTGACGTCCTCCCCGCCCTTACCTTGCAAAGTCATTTCATTCCCAGCCTCGCCCCAGGTTCCTCCTGAGGTCAGTGGGGTGGAAATTATTTGCTCCATTTTACCCATGATGAGCCGGAGGTCCAGGGGGGTTAAGGGACTTGTCCAAGGTCGCACAGCTGGGAAGTGAGAGACTGAGCCCCGAGCCCAAGTCTGCAGGCTGCGCAGCCGGGAGCTCATCTAGCATCCTGGCCACCCCCAGGCGGAGGGACCAGCTCCGGCTTCGGAGCAACTGGGCATCAGCTTGCAGGGCCTCTCCCCTCCCTGCGTTTACACCTCTGCGCCCCCTCACACTGCACCTGTGAGGAAGAAGCGGCGGCTGTTGGCTGTGGCTTTGGGCAAGGCCCCAGTCTGGGCTCTGGGTTCGGTTTCCTCTGTGCTATGGCAGGGATTACACAAGCTTGCCGCCATTCTCTGTGGTTTTTATAAGCACGCGGCTTGGAAAATGGGAGGGAGGAACAAAAGAAATATGTTGCAGATGACAGACTGCATCCCGAAAATATCAGGATTGCACGGGGGAAGCACAAATCCATTTACAAAAACCCAGTCTGTGCACTTGTCTGAAATGTGTCCGCTCTTCAAGCCGGGTATCCTGGCAGCAGGAGGGGCCCCCCGGCTGTACTAACACCCGAGACCAGGAATCCTGCGAAGCACGCAGGAGAGGTCTCAGGAATTGGTGGCAGCACCCACACACAGGACGGGAGGGGAGAAGCAGACAAGACCCCAGGACTCATTCGGGACCTCTAGCAAATGTGCCGGGGCCCCGTGGAAGAACCCTGCCTGGCACGGCCAGGATCTTTGGCTACGTGCCAGGGAAGGAAGCTTCCTCCATTCGAGAAGAAGAGATGAATTTGAAAACCCTTGGCCAGGAACAGGAGTTATTGCAAGATGGAGTCTTCGGCATTCAAGAGGTCATTTCAGCAGCTACAGAAGGCGGGGGTGGGGAGCGCCAGCTTGCGTTTGGTCTCTGTGTCGCCTGTGAGGTCTTGCATGTTTTTCCTGCTTGATTCTTGAGGCTGTTCGTTAGAATGGAGAAGAAGTCCACATCTTGGAGCCCCAGGCAGAAAGGAAGCCTTGTGAGTGGATGTCAGCCCTGTCCAGCATCTGGGAAGGAAAGGAAGTCACATAGCCTCCCTACCACCGGGTGACCTTAGTTGAGCCAGCCTCTCCTGCGCAGGGCAGAGTCTTTGCGGCTCGGAGAGAGCAAACTTCACGGGCTGTAAGGGCCGAGAGAGCCCCTGGCATATATCTGCTCTCAAGTAGAAAATAAAAGGTGTGCGGGAA